AACACATATTAGCCTATATCAACACAACTAATTCTCAAACAATCTAATTATCTCCATTTTACAGATGAAATAACTCAAGTACAAAGAAGAATCTTGTCTATACCCTAAAACATAACACTAGGATTCAAATACAAGAAGTCTAGCTCAAGAGCCCATTTTCTTATTTTCTGTTCTGTAATACCCAAGAAAAGAATTTGAGGAAAAGATAAGTTATAGGTTTGTTTACCATCATGAGATTTTAAGGTAAACGGTACACAGTAACCAAGAAAGGAAGTGCCCAATGAGGTAAACATTTACAACATGTGGCTAGTAAGCACCACTGAAATGTAGCTAGTCTAAAATGAGATATGCTATAAATGTAAAATACCCAATTTTGAAGGCTTACTTAAGAAGAGTATATAAATCAACTCATTAATAATTTCTATATGAGTAAATCTCAAAATGATAATATTTTGAATACACTGGATTAAATTAAATGTGCTTTTTCATATGGCTACCAAAAGATTTAAAATCAGATATTTGGCTACTCTTGTATTTTTATGAAATGTAGTATTATGTAGGCAAGATTCTAGAGTTTATAAAATGATTCTAACCTAACCTTTGCCAACTTGTTTTGCTTTATGATCTCAGGAAAAAACTGTTAACACTGATTATGAGCATTAGAAGAAATGGGGTTTTAAAACAGCCCTAAAACCTACTGCTCAATTTGAGTATCTAAATTTATTTTCCACTAAAAGAACAAATTACTTGGGACAAACAGCTGATGCTAGAGCTGGGACAAGTAAAGTACGTGAACCTGGAAACCACCATACACAGGAACCATCCTGATGAGGCTCCTGTTAGCCAAACCTGGTATATTTTGAGAAACAAAATGAATTCATGCTGATTTTTTAAAAAAACTGACTGAATAAACAAATAAGGGAGAAGAGAGGAAAGACTGATTTATGACAGAATGTCAACTTCTAATAACTGCTGAAGGAATGAAATTGGAAAATCATCAATGGATGCTAAAACTTGTGGGTAAAATTTTGATTGAGACTCTGACAACATCCTGTTATTCAGAATACTTTTCCACAAGCTGCATGTTAATTACAGAGAAATAAATAATAACTTTCAGGTTGGAATATACAGACCACCACGCTAACCAAATTTTCAAAGCTAACATCAACAACACTAGGACAAATCAACCTTATGAGCCTTAAGATATGATGTACTGAGAAGAACAAAACATCTCTTCAGTGGTATTCCTGCCAAATGCATAACCAATCTAATCATGAGAAAACAACAGACAAATTCAAACTGAGGCATACTCTACAAAATAACTGCCTTGTACTTTTCAAAAATGTCAAGGTCAAGAAATAGGTTGAGGAAGTATTCCCAATTTGAAAAGACTGAAGAGATGTGATGATCAAATGTGGTACATGATCTCAGAGTGGATCTTGTATTGGGTGGAAAGGGTTATAGAGAAAACAGATAAACAAGATTTGAATATAGATTATAAATTAGATAATAATATTATGTCAATACTAAATCTCACGGTTTTTAATAACTCACTCTGGTTAGATAAGATAATGTCCTTGTTTTTAGGAAAAATACATAAAAAATTTTAAGAGTAAAAAGGTATGATGTTTTCAAATTACTCACAAATTATTCAGAAAAACATATGTGAATATAAAGCAAGAATGATAAAGCCAAATAAAACAAAATGTGAAACAACAGGCAAAAATTGTTCCAATTTTTTTGTAAGATCAAAATTATATCATAATAAAGTTTTTCAAAACTGGCCTATCTTCCAAATCAGATATTTTAATAACTCTACCAAAGTCTGGATGTTTTTAAATGTACTAATACATTTATTTTATTCTAGACTTAACTCTGTTAATTTTGACTCATCAGATAGTCATTTACATATTCCATAAGATTCAGGACTATGTCTATTATTGCTCATTATCATTCAAAGTACTATTTACTACATCCAATAAGCATGCAAACGTTTTTTAAAGTGAGCACACTCACATACTACATGATGCTTATAAACAAAGCATTAAATTATATAAAGCTCCACATTGAAAACAGAACCATTATTTGGGACAAAGAGGGACAACTCTCCATTTTTTTAAATAAAAACCAGGAATGAATCAAAAGAGTGGTCAAAAATCTAAATTAAAGAGATAAATTCCACAATTAGAAGAAGGTAAATACTTCTTTTTTATAATGGGAGTCAAGCATTTTACCTTTACAATTAACTATAAGCAGTCACTGACAACTACAATAACTTGCTTCTTTATAAATTTTTACTATATTAATAAAATTGAATCAATTACCTTAAAAGAGTAGTCAAGGTAAGTGCTGAGATTCAAAACTTCTCTAGGAGTTCACTAAGTTGCTGTATAACCCTGAGAAGCAGCCTAACAATTTCTTATCTTACAAGTAAAACTTCTGGATCATTTCCCCCCCCCCAAAGGCAAAAAGGGTGTTATGTTATAAAAATAATTTCAAGCAGTAATAGCAATGACTATTAAATATAGAAATATAAAGTCAAACATGCAAAAAAAATTTGGCTTTTTGTAAATATGTTTACAAAGTAATGAATGTAAGCATATTAACAGCAAAAGTTGACTCAAAATAATTACACAAACTACTTTTAGATCATAAATAAGTATGACAGAACACATACACACAGACACAGACACACACACACACACACACACACACACCCAATCAACAAGTACATACCATGTTTAAAATGGTTCTATTGTTTATTTAAAAATAATGGTGACAAAAACCAAGTATGAGATAGGTCTCCTGACTAGAACTGGGACTATAAGAAACAATACAATTCTCAAATATAGGTAGAACCCAGGAAAAAAATTCTTTTCATGTACAATTATGTGTTACATTAAAAGAGTAGCATAGATTGTCCGTTAGATATACAATATTAACTCAATTTTCAGTGTTTTCCAATATTACTTGAGTATTGAAGCAGGTAAGTCAGAAATACAATTGAATTCCCTTTTCCATCAAATCCGGTTAATTTTGTGTCTCATTAAAATTTGATTTTTTTCAAAGGTACAAGTAGTTTTGCGATGCAAAGTCGCATCTGGATAAGCAAGAGAAAAACATACTCCCAAAATATTCTAAAATAAAAACTGACCAAAGACAACCTTAAATCACTGTATCCCTTGGCAAAACGTAACATAGTATCGGCATGAGCCAGTATTACAATGCTGTCATCCTACCTGATTCTATCTTAATAAACTCAACAATTTCTATGCAGTTTTTTTCCAGCAGAAAAGATCTTCACATATGTAATAATAAAGATAGGTACATTTTGTATTCAAAAAGAACAAATACCAACACACTTGGTATAAAGAATTCCCAGAGGTTTTTTTAGACTGAAATCACTTATGAACACTTGACTAAAGCTTTTTCCCTTAACTTCCTCAGATAACACCAAAACATATTTTATATAGATAAAATAAAACAGTACAGGTCTTAAACAGCACTTAAACGCCCCTCATCGGAGCAGTCTTCCTTCACRTACGTTTTCCTACAGGCATCCCATTCTGCAGGGCACCTTTAGGAATGAAGTTGTCACTGGTGTAACCTAGGAGGACCTCCGCCCCACCAGTGAAAGCAGGAGAGATCTTAAGGAGCTAACCAAACAAACCTAGGGAGTGGGGAAGGGGAAGGGGCGCGAGGTGGCGCAAGAACAGATGAAAACAAGGTGAGACAGTTGTTTCCTTAAGGCACTAAGGTCACTCCCCAACTCCCAATGCCAATATTTACTGGCCAGCAGAAAAAGCGGAGCCATCGCCCACCGCTGACACAACGCAACCTTCCTTCCCACTCTCGGCACCCAGTCCCACCCACACCCCCGATACACAAACCCGCGCGGCTCGCCCGGCCCGACCGCTCCGGCCCCTCCACGCCCACCCAYCAGCCTGCCCACCAGCTCCAGGCGCAAGTCTCACGCGGGCAAAAAAAGGCTGAGGCAAGGTGGGGAGTCCCGCCATCTCCCGCCACCCCGAGCAACCCACAGAATGAGAGCTCCTAGTCCAGAAGTTTGGAGCAAAGGAGTCGGACCCCCTCCCCCGGGAAGGCAGCCTTGCAGCTGAACCGGGCTGCGAGCCGGGGAGGGCGACGCGAGTGTGTGTGCAGGGAGAGTCCATCACATGACAGTGAAAGGACAGGAGTCGTCGGGGCGTCCGCGCGGAGGGGTGAGTGGGGGGGGGGGAAGAGGGTGCCGTTGCCGTGGCAACACCCCCCCCAGGCCGTCCAGACTTCCAAAGAGGGAGGAAGAACTTCAAATCCCAACCGTCAGCGCTCGAGCGGCTCCTTCTTAAAGGGGTACACACAGAGCCGCCGCCGCCACAGCCGAGCGCGAGAGGGCAGAGTTGGACGCCCCCCGCCCCTCGGGCGGCGCCCCCCGCCCTCGCCCCCCGCCGGCCCACCCGCGGCCCCGGCCCCGCGAGCGCCCCGGGGACCCCCGGGTCCGGATCCCCGGGAACTCGGCCGTGTCCGCCAGCCCGGCCCCCGGCGACGAGAAGGGGGTGTGTGTGCGCTCGGCGGGGGCGCGGACCAGCCCGCCTTCCTCCCGCTGCCCTGCCCGCCGGCTCCCTTCGGCCAGGGCGCCGACCAGCCCKGCCGCTTCCCCCTCCTGTCAGCAAGGACCGCTGGCGGCGATACGGGCACGGAGGAGTTTCGGCAAGAGCGCGAGCGAGTGGCTTCCTCCGGGCTCGGCGAGCGGGTCCGAACTAACAGTTCCCTGGGAGCCCAGGAGCCGAGAAGGCAGGCGACCGAGCGCGGACCGCGCCGGGCGAGGAGCCCCCGAGACAAAAGGCGAGCGCCGGGGCCGCCGCGCCGCCGCCGCTCCCATCTCTCTCCCCATTGAACTGACCCGAACCGGAGATTCAACTAAACCCCTCAGCCACAAACTCCTCGGGCTGCGGCAGCAGCCGCCGCACGGAGCCCGGGGCCCCGACCCGTGTCTCTCTTACCTACACAGTGCATGAGGCGGTGGCGCCAAGAGTCGAGTTCCCGCCGGAATCCTCTCCTCTCCGCCGCGCACCGAGGGCTCCGGCACTGAGCGGCGGCGGCGGCGGCGGCGGCAGCAGCGGCGGCGGCAGCGGCCATTCTCTCTCTTCCCTTGTCCATCTGCGTCCCGCGTCACGCGCCCTCATTTACATACGAGCGGCGCAGGCACGAGGCAGGGGCGCGAGCCCTCGGCGCGAGCCCCGGAGCGCGCGCCCCCCGGAGGGGGTTGATTGACACGTGTCACTACCTTCCCTCTGCCCTTCCCTCCCCCTCCCACCGCTCCCTCAGGGAGAGGCGGGGAGGGAGCCAGAGGAGAAGGAAGCAACCTGCCGCTTCCGCTGACCCCGCCCCCCCATCCACTCCTCTCTCCCCTCCTCCCCCGGAGTTTACTCAAGCAAGCCATGCCGCTCCCGCCGCCCGCGAAAACCCTGAGCGGGAGCGAGAGACCCGGAGCCGAGCCAGGAACCCGCGTGCTAAAGGAGCTGACTAGCAACGCCTCCTTTCTGCCTTGGCGCTGGCCGTTCKGAGACTTCACTTCCCAGGCTCCCTTGCGCCCTTGTCCCGAAGCGGAACTTGCGGCGTTGGCGCGGTGCAGGCTGGGCGTTGTAGTCTGGCCCAGATGAGCACCCACGGGTCCTCTAGCACGCTGTAGCTAGCCGAGTGGCCTTCGACTTCTTGGCGCAGGACCTAAGGTGGGCTTAAACTCCCACTCCCTACCCCCAGGACCTTACACTGCCGGCGTTGTCCAGACAGACGCGCTGCTTTAGCTTCCACAATGGAAGTGCAAAAATTGTTGGTTCTTGCAAGTGTGCTTTAAGTGTTGGAAACTTTGAGGGGTCACTGTCATCTTGTCACTACAGGGAAAGGGCAAGCCAACTATTCAGTTGCATCTGAAATAATTGCCAGACGTCCAGAGRTGCCGCAGTGACTTCAGTTTCCAAGGCGAAGAGATCATTGCAAAGCGGAAATACTTGCTAGAATTAGGAAAAAGATGAAAGACTTTTCACCGAAAATTATTTAAGGGAGAGGACGTAGCTGGCTGAAAACTCCAGGAGGGAATTTTTTATGATCTGCAAAATATAAACTCCTGGAGGGAAACCACCCCCTGAGACTTCTGTGCCTTGGCATCTTTCATTCGCTCTACCCTAGTACAGTGCCAGGATGTGGCATGGGATTCAGCACTTTAAATTTGTTATGGAGTGAATTCTGCACTATGCTAAAGAAAATAACTTATTCTGAGAGAAAGAAATTTTTTGGTTAAATTTAGACTTCAATTAGATTTTTACTTTTGCACCAGAGCAAGCCTGCATTTATTTCTTGTATAGTTGCAGAGGGCCAAACCCAGGCTAAGCCACCCAAAGTTTACTAAGAAGTGTATTACTGGGAATTTATGCACAAGTGCACAAGTCTATGGGAAATATGTTTCTGAGTTCTGTATCACCCTCCTTGTATGGCTTATCTTCATCTACCTTTCTTACCCACTCCACGCGAAGAAGTATTGTTCATCATTACCTCAGTAGTGAAGATGTGATTACACCTTCATAAAAGTTTTTTTTTTTTTTTTTAAACAGTGACGTTGGAAATCTTACAAACACCTTTCCTAGAACAGTCACATTTGAGACAGGTGAAATCACTAGTGAAAGTGCTTTTGAAATTATAAATGAATGGTTTCAGTTACCACTTCTACACATAAATTGCTAAGATGATTAGACTTTGTAGGTTTCCTGATGGCTTCTGTAGTAGTCTTCATTAGTTAGGATGGAACACTTTGGTGCAGTCACAAAGGATCCAAAAATCTTAGTGCCTTAAAACAAACAAAACAAAATTTAATCTACATGTTCTTCTTCAGGGGTGAGGGACCTTCATTCCAGGTGGTTCTCACCAAGCAACTAGATGTTTAGGGAGGCTGGAAAGACTGGAACTTTCTTCCWTGTTTGATAAACAAAAGGAAGATGAGGAATGGCAAACTAGTTCTTCCTAAAAGTACTAGGAGTCTGTTCCACTCATATTTCACTGACCAAAGCAAATCRTGTAGGTATCTCTATCTTCGAGGAGCAGGGGAGGTGCAATCCTATTTGCCCAGAAGAACGATAACTAGAATTTCTTAATGGAATAGCACCAAGGATATCACAATTCATCCTCTAGCCACTAATTTACAGTTAATTCTTTACACTACAAAATACATTCACTCCTATTACAAGTGAGACAATCTGAAAATTCTGTTCAGTAAAGCATTAATCTSGAAGTCCAGCATCTCTGTATTGCTTGGTAGGATATATTAACACTGGATAAAGCTTCTCTTGTTACATAAACCTAAAAAGGCACAGTATCTATCCTCCCCCAATTATAGTTTACACACACACAAACAAACACATTTAACAAATACTGGTGGGACGGGGACAAATTAACTATCTWAGTTCATTTTGTGCTGCTGTAACAGAATAACACAGACTACTTTATAAAAACAAATTTATCTCTCACTGTTCTGGAGGCTAGGAAATTYAAGACAATAATGTTGGCATCTAGCAAGAGCCTTCTTGCTGTGTCATCCTATGCAGAAGGGCAGAGGCAAGAGATTAAAAGGGTGAGCCAAACTCCCACTTTTCTAACAAACTCATTTTCAAGATAACAAAGTTAATCCATTCACTCTAACCTTTGAGACTCATTGCATCTTATTAGGTCCCATGTCCCAAAGCCATTGCATGAGAAAGTAAGGTTCCAACATATGCTTTGTGTGTGTGTGTGTGTGTGTGTGTGTGTGTGTGTGTGTGTGTGTGTTGTAGGGGGTGGGGCACCTTCAAACCATCATACATTGGAAACATTCATATTTAGGAGTGGAAATAATGGGAGCCATATATCAAATATTTAGCAAATAGTTTACCATCATTAACTAGCATGGATTGCCTTCTTTCCAACCTCTAACAAGACTCCTTGCCACTACCTATTGGGCCTATAAGATATAACTACATATTTTAATATTCTATCATAACTTTACCTTCTTCTGTGTATGAATTTCTACATTCTTCTGGGTATTAAATTCCTACCAATTTAGGCAGAATGGCCTACAATATGCTCCAGTAACACAAACTCAAAACCTTAGTGGCTTAATGCAAAGGTTTATTTCTTATAATAGGTCAGTGTGGAAGAAGATGGAGAGAACTTTTCCATGTCCATTCAGGATCCAGAACTTATGGAGCTCCACCATCTGAAAGTTCCCCTGTCACCATGAAAAGAGAACAATGATGTGGAATCATAGTCCAGCTCTTAAAGGCTTCTGATAGAAGTGATACATTTCAATGGATAAAGCAAATTATACACCCATGACTAATTTTGAGGAAACAATATATTAGATACCTTTGAGGGAATAACCAACCATCCCAAAACTTAATATCTAAAAAATCAGATGTTTATTTACCTTATGAGTCTATGGAATGATAATTTGTGCGACACTTGGTTGGCCCACTTAGGTGTGGGCAGTGACTTGTCAGCTAGGTAGCTCAGTATCTGGAAGTTAGTTGAGTTGATTGTCATGTGGGAAAACAGATCTCAGTATTCCTCGTCATCAAGGAACAAACAAACCAGGGCTTGGTTTATTTGCATGGTGGCACAGTCATAGGGTTCCACACAGCAGTGAGAGAGCAATCCCCAGCCTACAAGTGCTTTTCAAGTCTCAGCTTGGATCACATTTGCCCCAGTCATGACCAAACCCAGAGTCAATATGGATAAACAAAGTCTACCTCTTAGTAGAAGGATTTGCAAGTCACATTGTAAAAAGGCATGGATAGAGGGAATTACACAATTTTTGTGGCCAGTTTTTCAGTTTACCACATTTGGGGAAATGCAGTGTTACCATAATTCTCCAAAGGAAAGAGACATAGAAATATGGACAAATGAATTAATACAGAATTTCTGGAAGAATGGAAGAATTGAGGTCAGATACGACGAAGTGCATAAGATAGAGTTAACTTTGGAACTCAGTTTTACTTAGAAGAGCAAAAATTTTTGTGGCAAATATAACAAAGTATATTATAACTACCCAGCAAACATAGAAATAGAAGCTTAGCTGATAAAATTGTTGCATTTGAAGCTGGACCAGGCACCAACTTAGTGCCTACTTGTTGTTTATTGATTGGACAAATGTTTGAGATATCTATAAAGCYAAGGGTAGAAAGAAAGTCATATCAAAGATTGTCTCCTGTACTGAAAATGCAGTTATAAAGGATCTTAATAGAACAACAAATATATAATAAGAAAATGTTAATGTTGTTTGAAAAGGTATTTTTGTTCAATTATCAACTTCCTATACAAGTTGTATTAGTTATTTTTTGCAGTGTAACAAGCCAATTCATAACATAATGACTTAAAAGAACAACTTCTTGTTCTTTAGTCCACAGGTCAGATGAACTGTTCTGCTAATCTGCAAAGGTTCTGCAAATCTTCACTAGATTGCTGATGATCAAAGATGGCCTAACAACATTGGTATGGAATTTGACTCCCTAATTGCTGGGGGTACTGGAAATGATTGACCTATTTGTCTCTTATCATTCATAGGCTAGGAGAGCTTATTTACATGTGGCAGCACGTGAAACACAAGTGAATAAGTATTTWATGTGCAAGTATGTTCTATCTTTGCTTGCATCATATTTGATTGCTACTGTTCCATTGGCYGAAGCAAGTCACATGAGCAAACCCAAAGTCCTAGTGGAAGATACTAACAAATGGTATGGTCACAGAAAGCTGTGAACAAATTGGGGTCATTACTGCAATCAAACCACTATAAATATCCATCCAAGTTCATCTACAACTGGAAAGCACATGTAGAAAGTTCTTGTACATGCTAAGAATAGATATAAACTGCTGGGCAAATTAATAGTTTATTGGTTTATATGACCATTCAGCAGTTAATTCCTAATCTATGATCCATTTTAAGAGAAATTATGCAAAAATACAAATAAATTAAGTAGTGTGAAGTGAATTTCCATAGTAGGAAAATACAAAATTACAGAGGGGTTTGACTAGAGTCATGATTTTTTGGGATATTAACCCAAAATGAAAGCTTTTCTTTTCCTTTATACAAATGTTATATAATCCAATATACTAGTAAGATGGTAAAATACCTACTCAATTATGAATTACCAATATGTAACAGAAAAATTCATTTTATAATTAGTAAAACCGAAACACTTTGTATTAGATATTTATAACTATAAAGCATAGTTATCATATCTTAATTAACTATAAAA